CCACGAATTACACAAGTCACCCAAAGCAGCGTTAAAAAAGCGGGAGGCGCCGAAAAGCGACTAATTTGCATCACTGATAGACAGACACATGCATTTCCAAACATTTGGTCTACCGACGGTGTAACATTTATTATCTCTTCGATTACACACGGCATCTATTGCACGTCTGTCCGTCCTGGGAGAGGGATCCCTTCTCTGTTGCTTTCCCTGAGGTTTTCTCCCATTTTCCCCTTTAAACTGTGGGGTTTTTTCCGGAGGTTTTTCATTGTACGATGTGAGGGTCTAAGGACAGAGGTTGTCGTTTTCTCATACTGATATTCTGCACAAACTGCTGTTGTATTTGCTGTAAAGTGTCTTTACTGTAGGGTATTTTTATTATATGTACAGCACTTTTGCTCGACCAAAAATCGTTTAAAAATGTGCTATATAAATAAAACTTGATTTGTTTTGTTGTCTAAAATGGAGATCGGCTAAGCTAACGCAATATAGGCTATATGCTCAGACGCGTCCACAGTCACAACGGCCTATACAGACATAAATAAACCAGCGACTGTATTCGCCATGACACAGACAATCTGTGGTTTGTACTTGTTTAACTTTTGTCTAGTTTCTGAGCAGATATGAGGAGCTTGAGTGCAAACAGCTAACGGCTGATTTTGTTTTTTCTGGAGTGCTCACGGCTGCTCATTGAAGATGATGTCACGGCTCCGCCTACACTGCGTTAGTATAGTTACCGCCCCAGCTCCTAAACTGTAATGGAAGCGCAGCATTAAAGTGAGCCGGGCCTAATAAGGCCTAACCAAACCGGGCGAGGCCGAGCTAGGCCTGCGGTGGAAATGCGCCATTATATACTAACTAAGCACTTACATACTAACTAAGCACTTATATACTAATAAAGGACTGGCTTATCTAAAGCCAGTTGAGTTGGATGCCTGAACAACAATGAAGGGACACACATTGCAGTGTACAGATCTGTAAACTGGCTTTATAACCCAAACAAAAAGTCCTCCACAAGGGCAAGGCAATACATATGAGGCAATACATTATGAAGCCTCTGCATTCCTTAATAACTGCTGTGCGACCTTAAAGGGGCCCTCTTATGCTCATTTCCATGTTATATCTGTATTTTGTGCCTTTTGTCTCCATGCTTTAATGTTCAAAAAGCTCTTTATTGTTCTCATACTGCCTGTGCTGCAGCACCTCTTTTCACCCTCTGTCTGAAACCAGAGCTCAGTCTGCTCTGATTGGTTAGCTGGCCAGCTCTGTTGTGATTGGTCAACCGCTTAGAGATGTCCCGCCCTTTGCCTATCCCGTACAATGCTGTTGAGCGCTAGCCAATAGAAGTGCGACTGTTCCATAGTCCAGTGGAGGCGTTTGAGGATATATAACACACTACAGGAAAGGGAAAACCCCAAAAAGCATAAAAGGGCCCCTTCACTAAAGCTGCAACCATTAGTGATTGACAGAAAAATAATAACATTTGCCCTGTCTGCTGCCCTGTACGCCAGTTCAAAATTCACCACTGTGTCTCTCTGGCCCAAAATATATCTTTAAAATATGATCCATAGATTAATTGGTAATGAAAATAAAGGTTAGTTTCAGCAAGGCTTATCAGCTATCATGCAACATTGTGGAACAAACACTACGAGATGAATCCACAGGCATGTTGTTAGTCTGCTGTATGATCCCAAACACACATCTCCCTTACCATTTGTCTGAATGGCGGCTGAGATGTTCTCACTGAGGCACTTGTAGACGTTGAGCATGTCCAGGTAGATCCGCCCCAGCTGGATGACGAAGGGGTGTCCCACGGCCTTACAGGCCCGCACGTTGGTCTTCAGGATGCTGCCCAGCTGCTTCACAGTCTCCGGGTCCTTCAGGATGTCCACGTTCTGAGGAGGAGAGATGATTAACACACTCTTCTTCTTTGTCTATCATAGATAAATAGATTGGTTCATTAGTTAAACTTCAGCATGTGGTAGTGCGAGGGTCTCTTACCTTGGTGGCCTGCTGGATGATGCTGTCCCACACCTGGTTTGGAAGCAGCATGTATTTTTCTATCAGGTGCTCCTGAACTGTCTGATCTGTCTGGGCTCCGATCATATAACCTACTGCCTCGTAGAACGTGTGCACCTGGACAGAAACAGGGACAATTGTCAACATTAAAACCTGATTGAACGAATAATAGAATTTATACACAGTATACTCAACTCTGATTGGTCAATAGGGATATTCAGAGGTCAGCTATTTACTGATAGCAGACTGCTACAAGGGATAGCAGACTGTTGCTAACGCTGACGCTTTGAACTTAAGACAGCATCATATCAATCCACAGAAAGACGTTTGGTCAATGTAAGGTCAGTTGTTGCTAAGATAAAAACTGTTTCCTGTCTGATACTCTATCAGAAAATACAATGCAAAACTTTTTTAAGTTTCTATGTAAATAACACTTGACCGCTGAACTGTCCTCAGTAAGGACAAGCAAAAGTGAACAAGATAAAGAATACCAACCCAAAAAGAAAGGAAAGAGTATAAAAGATAGAAGGCTGGACGACAGAGAAATGAACAGAAGAAGAAAGACCGGAGAGTAAGCACTAAAAGGTAACGTGGCATGGGAACAGACTTTTTGACTTTCGGTACAGGTCTGGAGAACAAAAGCTTGATCAGTGCTGCGGACATTTTAAGTTATGTTGCCGTTGTTGAAATTCCATATTGTAAGTGAAATCGGTTTATTTACTAAGAGAATTTAGCAGGATAATGTGCATTTAGCCATTCATTAGTAAGACAGGAATCTCTGCTCATCTGTCTGGGTTCTTTTCTCATTAATGACCCCCTCGCTGCACCCCTTACTCAATTTCGAGCAGAACTGTAGAAATAAAAATGCTGACCTGCTGAGGCTGAAGGTCGCAGATGATGGTGTTGATGTTGTTGAGGATCTCGTCGATGAAGGGCATCACCTCTCCCACCTGCACCTGGATAAAGTGGCGCCGGCACTTCTGGGCGATTTTAATGAACGTGTCACAGGCCATGTCCTGAACTCCGTCATGGGTCTCTGAAGGAGAAAGAGCATGAAGGGGGATATAATGTTGCATTTAAATTACCTAATTTAAAACTGTGGTATTCATAGAACCACGTTTTAAAACCAATGCATGTTTCCCAAATCTCTCACCATGCATGAACTCAAAGAGTTTGTTGACGACGGTTTTGAGGAACTTCCAGTGTGCTCTGAGGAAGCGAGGATACTGGCCGACGATGTACATGATGTTGGAGGCGATGATGGCCTTGTTGTCCTTCCCTCTCTTCTGCTCGCAAAGACCCAGGAGATCCTGAAACGAAGACACAGTCAATGTTCAGTGTTCTACACAATGGTGTGAACGATTCTTTAACATCAGAGTGACCACATGACCAGAGCAGAAAAGGAAAAACTGCAATGATATATCTTTTTTTTTTAAAACAGCTTTAAATGTTGATTTTGTATTTTAATCGTAGTTGTGAGCATTTTTTAAGTCAGTTTTGACTAATTTACAGTATTTATTACCTAAACCTTTCTGAACACACTCAGTGATTGTTTATGTTTTCATTTTATTATATAGTTTTTTCTGTTCACAAGACATATTTAGCTTTTCTGTTTCTTGGTTGAGGGATCCCTCCCCTGCATAACTACAGGATTTCCTTAAGGAGTTTTGTCTTGTCTAAATTCTAAGGACGACGGTGTAATTGGTGATATTGACCTATATAAACTAGGGATGGGATCGATTAATCGAATATTTGAAATTATTCAGGTATTCGAATATGAGAAATTAATTTTTTTTTTTTTGGGAGGGGTGCTTAAGTTGATTACATATTATCAAATGGAATAATTCAATGTACACGACAGTGTCATAGCTAAATGTGTTAGGTCTAAAGGTGTGTTTTGCTCCGCTCACCGGTCCCTCACAGCGGGCAGAGCTGCAGGTGCTGATCTCTCTCTCTCGCGTCCGGTTATACTTCACTCGCGTTTATGTCCAAATCCATCAGATCTAGTTCTAGCTAATGATATGGCTGCTGCCCCTCCCTACACGCAGATCACGCAGACTCAAACCTCATCTTTTTTTTAGGATATGTACATTTCGGTGAATTGGTTAGCCGTTTTTTTGGGGGTCGAATATTCGAATACACATTTACTTTCAAATTCCCAGCCCTAATATAAACACACTTATAGTTGTAAAAGTTGTGGTAGGTTGAGGTTTCTGTGTACCTTGATGACGGTGACCAGGAACCTCTTCTCGTCCTCCTCGTGCATGGCCCCGCTGATGGAGCCGATGGCCCAGCACAGCGTGTTGAGGTTCTTCCAGGACCACTCGGTGCCGTTCACCTGGTTGTGCAGCTTCTCTGTCATGATACGCTCTGTGTCTGCATAGTCCAGATGAGTGAGGTACACTGCAGGATGGCAGAGGACAACATATTAGTATTATCACTGTGTGAATGAACTTAAAGCCACAAGCACATCTCTCTGCAGCTAAAACAATGTTTGAACCTGAAAAAAAAGGTTTGAACAGAAACAGTCGAATGCCGAGTGAAACTTATCAATATATGTCTCTGTGTTGCATGGTATACAGATACTATAAATATGTTCTCACTTCATCCATTGCCTTGCATTGACATTGCCAAAATATGTATTTTTCTTCTTCTTAAAAAAAAAAAAATGTTGTGAATGTACTTTCAAATAGCGCCTTGTGTCTTTGACGCCTTAGCACATCTACTTCACATGCTAATTTTAATCATTAACACACAGGGCTGCCAAACAAAGTGCCAAACTGCTCATCATCTAACCTAATATCATTTAAATAGACTTGTGGTGCCTTCAGGAGCAATTTGGGGTTCAGTGTCAATGACAGTTAATGTAAGTGACAATTCCACATGTTATCTTAAGGAAGCACAACATTTTATTGTATGACTGCCAGCTTGCAGTGCTAACAATATCAAAGCATTAAATAATAAAAACGACAAGGAATCCTTTTTTGCACAATCAATGCTAAATGTACTAGAATGGATTTGAATGAAAAGCCATACAGGAACCACATTAATGTAAACAGTGCATACCCAGAGTTTCCCTCATGTTCTTGTAGAGGTTGATGGAGTCGGTGTCCTTCATGAACTCTCTGACCACCTCTCCCTGGTCGTTCTCCACCACCAACACCTCCTCCGGCTTGGCCATCCGACTTACCATAAGCAGACGCACCTGTCACAAGAAATGACATCTGTCAGCACGTACACACATGGAGGAACAGAGCCACTGCGCTCACACATACGCACACATGTCATTGTATATGATCCTTTAATATTCAAACCATGATATGTGTGTCCCTTTTTATACACACACACCATACACTATGTGTTGTAAGGTAAAATATTGACACCAAAGGGAAAACAAGTTGAGCAACGTTGTGACTAGAAAGTCTTTTGGCAGCAGTTTGGCAGCCACCTGTTGCTTAACCAGTGCCAACTGATTCTTGGTATGACTGCGAGCTGAGACTCTACTAAAACACTTCTGCACCTCGAAACACTTCACTGCTGCACCACCTCTAACGTCTCAGAAAATCATTATTTCTTTAAAGATGCATTGCTTTCATAAATTCAACAGTGCACACTCTAATGTATTTGACATCCTAACAATGCATTAATTATTACATCAAGGATTAAAACAGAGTGTAATTGTCAGTGTGTGGTACCTTGGAGAGTACAGGCAGGTAGAGCTGTCTGCGAGGGGGCACGTCAAAGTGCTGGTTGCCGGAGAGCAGGGGGGACGTGGACGTGGAGAAGGGACTCTCTCTGTACAGCTCAGCAGCCAAGTGGTTCCAATACTCGAGACAAATTTTAAAGATCTCAGTCTCCTCCACCTCCGACACCAGCAGCATGTAGTGGAGGGCCTGGGAGAGGGGGGGGGACAATTAGACAATGGAGGCTGTGCTCTATACAGTGGTATGGATAGACAGATAGTTCGATAGATATAGTACATTTACTTCACACATTTATGTTCTGTAGTTAAATACACATTTGACGTTTTGACATTTACTATATGCTACTTTTGTACTATTGAGTCATTTTACACTATGTGTATTTCATAGTTTAAATAACTAGCTGCCTTGCAGACTCAGATTAACACAAGAAATTAATAAAATAATACATTATTATATATTATTAGAGGTAAGGCTACCCAGCTTTATATAAAATAATTTAAATAAATTCCACCATTAGCAGGTGCAAAATTAAAGTGATGAACACATTAATATATCAGTATTATAATCCAAACATTTTTAATATGATTCCCAAATGGGGTAATGTCACTCTAGCGTTGATACATGTACTTAAGTACAATATCTCAGAGCTTCTTCCAACACTCTACATGAAACGTATTTGTTCATTCTTTATATAGACAATGTTCTTCTCTTATTTTTCCTGTACATCTGTTGAACAGTGTCCTTGTGTCCGACAGTATTCTCTCTTACCTCCATTAATGTTTCTCGGAGGTTGAGCCGCTTCTCGATGAGCTGCCCGTGCTCCTTCAGGAACGTACAGAGGAACAGACTGAGGTTCTGGATGAAGTTCTGCTCGTCGTCTTTCCCGTTGGCGTAGGCCAGACGAATGTTAGTGTTCAGAGGCAGCATCTAGATCAAAATAGTTTCTTTAGTATGTTTACAACAAGAAATTAGAATGAGACCATTGCTCTATCTGAGCCTTACGCACCTGTTTGAGTTGACACATGGTCAGGGTGAAGAGTGTGACAAACTGCTCCTCGTACTGACTCACGCTCACACCGGCAATCTCTGTGAGGCACTTCAGAGTCACGTTGCGAAACATGGGCACGTTCAAGAACTGTAAAATCATAAGAAACAGATGGTTAGTAAAGGATGTATTGATTATTAGTGTGTGTATATAACTTGATTTGGAAGTATTTTTAAGCTTGCTTGCTATAAAACTGTTAAGAGGTCAGTAATATTGTTTTCCATACAATTCATTTTGGATCAGTCTAAAGTCCTTGAATGAGTTGTTTGCATCTGTGAACATACCTTATACACCAATGTGCTGATCAGTTTGGTTTCAAAGATGTACCCAAGAGGAATCCAGTTGAGAAAACGCAGGAGGGTCTCCAGAGTGGCGTGGACCAGAGGGGCATTCTGGGAATTTTCCTAAGGTGCAAACCAATAAGACGATAAACAGGTGAAGGACAAACACTACTCGGTAGGCAATGTTAAATTATTGTACAGCGATGCAAAAAAAAATTAGGATATGAAGATCTGCATACCATAACAAACTGGCACAGCTGGAATATCTGGGAGAACTCGTTGCACATGCTGAAAGACAGAAATACAAATTAGTAAAAAATACTGTCTGCATTTAGCACATTTTGACATTTTACAGATCTGCCTGCACTTCGGCAGAATCTCTCTCTCAAATGAACTCCCCTTCATTTCTTGTAAAACGAGTGCACAGGACATTTTATCATTTGCGGGGCTAAATCTTACATATCCTGACACAGTTCTTGTGGTCACTGTCGTTAAAAGTGAAATTTTCTTGGTAAAATAGGGCGGATCTTATTTCACCTGAAGGTCTTCTGTTCTCCATTAAATGTATGAATGTATTCTGATGTTCAGTCAAGGTGAATGCAATAAAACACAACGGACATCTGCCTTTCTAGTTTACGATGTTCTGCAAGTGCTGGAATAGAATCTAGTCTTACATTTGGCAAAAAAAGCTATAAATGTTGAATGTATAAAGTTATGTATAGTGATATTCCATTACAAAAAAAAATCTTGGAAACACTCACTCTGTATTCTTGAAGGTTATTATGATATTATGGTGGTTTGGTCTAATACATAGACCCTACTGTAGGTTTTTGACATCAAAACAGATCAGATGATTATGCTTCCGGAGGTGTGTGATGATCATCATGCTGACCTGTCTTTTAGATGCTTTGCCTTGACCTGGGTCATCTGGCCGCTGGAGAAATCAAAAACCTCCTCGCTGAGCAGCTTGAGGATGACCATGTTGTTCTGACAGAGGCTCTCGCTCGTGCGACTCGCCCCGACAATGTCGCTGATGAAGGTGGGCCAGTGCTTGGGCCACTCCTGCTTCAGGATCTATATGTACACGGGGCATACACATGCAGTATGTTGGTGTAACTGTGACATTTGCTACTGTGACTCTACTAAAAATAACAACCCTTTCAGTCCCAAGTCAGCCATGTGCCCCAGTTTCTGATTTACACTTTGATCATTCATGAGTAAACAGTCAGAATGTTAAAGAGTGTTAACGAAATCACATATTTATAAGCAATCCCCTAACTACTACAAACACCCCGTGCACAAACATCTGAACCACAGTCTCCTGGGGACGAGTGTGGAATCTGGAGCTCTACAGTCCCCGAGGGCCAAAACATGAGCTCAGCTGACGCAAGCAGTGACTCAGTCTCACTGACATTAATGCAAAGTCACTCATGTAGCCAGTGAGCCAATGGCTGTCTCCCTCATGGGAATGTACATCACACACACACACACGAGCGGGTAGTATCAAAATGTTTTACATTCAGAAGTAGAATCCAGTGTGGTCACAGATGAGTAGAATGCTCTGAAATGTATACTATTATATTATTCCGATAATTAAATGCACCTTCTCATTTTGCCAGGTAAGCAATTGACAGTTATATTTGGTTAGGTCAGAGCTATGAAACTTTAAATCATCCATATTTGCTCTCTATATCTTAACCTTTTTATCACTCAGAACAACAAGCATAAACTACAGGTAATCAATATCAATATTTGTTTTAAATACAAAAATGGGAAATGACCTTCTTGGAAACAGCCATAAGAATCAGGGAATGGTATCAGTTGAAGAAACCCATCTTTCTTTCCAATAAATCCGGTGGTCAAATCTTTCCGACTCAAGACTTTCTGATAAACATCTTAATGACTCACAGCAAGGACCAGAAGAAGTCTACACTAATTTGTTGATCCGACGGCACACAGCAGTGAACCGCTCATTCCTACGACCCAGCGTTTAAATGACTCAGCGTTTGTAGAGTAAAGGTACAATCATGCCTGAAACGACTTGATATATAATATGTTGTTCTGGACTTATCAGTTATTTCTGATAACCTCCGAGCAGATTTAAAAAGTGCTTTATCAATAATGATTTGAGATATTATTTGATGTTTATTTAAAACATAATACACTGCTGATTCTCCATTCGTTGTGATCCTCTTTTCGATCACGAAGCTACAGCTACAATTTATAAACATCCGCTGCATGGCCTGAGACATTCAAAGAGAATTCATATGCAATTTTAGCTTAGCTGACCTGGAAAAGTGTTCGTCAGACTAGATTAATTGTGACATCTTGAGGTTAAAAGTATCCTTGCAAAAGATGAGGGGAGAATTGAGGCAGCAGTAAGATGCTCAAACAACAGACTGTCAGCGTCCATTACTTTGTTTTATGAACCGTACGTACAGTGTTGTGTTACACATACAGATTGCTAAAAAACTATTAGGGTTAGTGTATGTGGTGTATAGACCAAAAGGTTTTTCCACGATAATCATCAGATTTCTCACTATGGCTAAAGATGAGCCATTAATCCATAATCCATACCAATGACATTATCATGAACTCACTCATTTAGAGCTTTTAGTTTGCCTTAAGTATTCTAAGGCAAAAGGCTTCAGCCGTTTTCTATCATTCATTATTTATAAATGTGTAATCGTCTACATTCTGCCGAACATTCAGTAACCACTGTGAAAAGAGAATTAACCGACCTCCTTGACTCAGGGGTTTCCAGCAGCAAGCAACTACCTTGTTGTTTTTAGCTAAATACAAATGTATTTTCTTCTCCAGTAGGACCAAAGTTAATATATTCTTGTCTAGTTTTCTTGCTTGCAACACTGTGGTGTTAGGAAAACATTTTGGTGTTTTAAAGGTCCCATGTCGTGCTTTTCCGGTTATTATCCGTCCCCTTGTGTGTTATGCAGGTTTTTCTGCATGTAAACGGTCTGCAGAGTCATAAACCCCCAAAGTACACCCTGTAGCGAGTAAAATTCTAACACAGAATATACCTCCCCAAAACACCTCGTTGGAGATTTCTCATTTTCTTCCTGGGTATCGCTACGTAGGGATACCCAGTAGCCACGCCCAGAGCTATGGCCGCACCCTCTGCCAGCCTTTCACGAAACAAAGCTTCCCAAACCTTTCATCGATTCATGCCGGATATGCACAGCGTATAGGGCACTGAAGAGCGATGCTGTTCCTACTTTGTTTGGACCAGCGGGAGATTCGGGTACACAACCTGTAAGTATTCCTTGTTGTTTGTGTATTTATGATGTTTAAAACAAACAAGGTATCTACCACAACTGTTTAAATGGGTAAACGTTTTTCGGACTATGTTGGGATGGCGGAGAAATGCTCTCCGCAGAGACCCATACTCACAGCGTTATAAACCTTTTTCTTACTCAATATCAAGCCACACTTATTGTTTTTACTTCGGCTGTGAGTGTTTGTGTGTGCTCAGGATGAGTTTTGCTTGTTCTTGCTGTATTTGTTTCGCCGACACGGAAGCCCTGTCTGCTCCTCCCAGCAGCTCCTCACGAGCAGCTGCACGTCGCTTGACCAATCAGAGCACACTGGGCTCACAGGGGGGGGCGAGCTCCAACAAGCCGATTAGGACAGAGAGTGAATACACATACTTTGCAGAGATGCTGTATGAGAAACCAATGTGAGTTTGAAAAATTGAACAGTATTCATCTATTTTAGTAGACCTCAACAATGGAATTATGATCAGTAGAAATGGCCATGACATGAGACCTTTAACAGAGCACGGTACAGTAGGGCGTGGTCCACTCGTGGGCCTCAGACACCATCTAGTGGGCCGCAGAGGTACTGCCAAATAGTTGAGATTAAATAACTATTTCGGGTAATTTACGATGCTAGTTATTTCTAGGCCATAGTGCTCAAGGATTTCAATAAAAGTGAAAAATGAAAATACATAATTTCAATAAGCTATAAAGTTTTACGATCACACCACCAGGTAGAGAAAAGCTTGTTAAGCGAGTTAGCAAGCTAACATTATTTAGTCACACAAAAAGGATTTATAAAACCAAAAAGTGAAATTTTTATCTGAACACATTTATTTGGATTCATAACGGCATAATACATGTACAACCCAGTTTATTTCTTGCCATTCTTTTGCATTACGTTTTTTACTCAAATATTTGGAAATATGGTCCTTGCAATTATAGTAACAAAAAGGTTGATAAAACTGGCTTATCCTTACCAAAAATAAAAACCGTTGCACTTCTCCCTCATGTCACAGCTCATGTGTGAAGGGGGTAAGCCAATAATGCAGAATGCCTGCACATGAACGCATGTTGATCTGACACAGATCCAGTGCTACAACAATGTGATTTGGTTATTTTGTTTGCATTATGACATTCTTTGACATTGGCAATAAAGACTTACCTGAACAAGGATCATGTTCAGCTTTCCAATGTACACCTTTTCTTTCTGAAAAATACAAATAAACATGGGATAATTAAATAATGTCCTACGATCTCATTTTCACATCACAATTGCTCCATGATGTCATCACAGCATTTAACAATTTATCAGATGTTCAAATGTAATACAGTCAAGAATCCCATAGAGATACATTTAAAAAAAGGTGGTAGGGATAAAAGAAAACAACGTGATTAAAAGTCAAACATTTTATTTTGAAGTTCAAAAGTAGATACATCATGTTACCACTTGGGCTTTATGTGCTTTCTCAGAATGAAGTTAGTAATACAAAATCAAAGCCAGGTGTTGGTGTATCAGAATGAGGCTTTTTTCAAACCTTGCCATCATCAAACCTGACCCTTATTCACTAAACTAAGCTGTAGTTAAAAGCAAACGTGTATTCATCCACGATATCCTTTTTAAATTCCAGCTTAGTTTCGGTTTCTTCTGTTTTTTATAATCCTGAGTAGTTTGACAACAATTTTGAATAGCTATTTATTTGTCTTTAATCTAAGGCACTTAAGGGAAACATATTGATTTATTACAACACAACTTAGGTTAGGTAAGGTTTTGAAACTCCCTACACACATTACCCAACATGCTTCCTGCTTCCCATGTGATGATCATACAGTTTGCTCAGAAAGCTCTCATGTGAGAGATGCATGCTTTCAGGTGTGCCGCTCATTAATGAGTGACCGTAATCCAGAAGAAGGGATACACTTTTTAAACCTAATCAGTGCTTTTCACTTGAGTTGATTCACACAGCTGCAGAGCATTTATGTTTAGAACAGCAGAGAGCCACATGCTGCGAGGTTAGTGTCAGTGTAGGTTAAACACTTCCTAAAGGAATACTTGACAAAAATGTTCTCATGTATTTAGTTGTTTGCTCACTACATCTCAAAGAAATGTATTTCACCACAACTTTACTATTTAAAAAGGTACCATATTTTGCTTATTTGCAAGTTCATATGTATGTTGTGTCTCTACTGTGGCATGTCTCCAGGCTATAATGTTCAAAAAGCACTTTATTTTCCTCAGAATGCCTGTGCTGCAGCACCTCTTTTCACCCTCTGTCTGAAACCAGAGCCCAGTCTGCTCTGATTGGTTAGCTGGCCAGCTCTGTTGTGATTGGTCAACAACTTTTAGATTTTTTGTTAAACCTTTTATTTTAATTCACCAATACTTTTCTGTTTGTTTTGGCCTACCCTAGAGACATTTTCATTTCAAAGTTGTAATTAAGTTCTATACTAATTTAGAACCCATTTTACCCCAAAAAAACGTTTAATTTGAATTCTAAAAAGGTACTCACCTCCACATTTGATGCATCTGATGAAGTCTTGATAATGAGACCAACAACATACTTTTTTATACCTGGCAAACACACAAAGATACCAGAAGAACACTGTGAGTAGGCACCAATGAAATGTGTAAATCCAAACCCATCCTGACATGACAATGAGCCTGCAGCATGTAACTGAACACAGTCTGCAGTTCATAACTATGGAATCTGGCCAATCTTGTTCCAGTACATTTGCATTGTTGTCCTTCATTTACAAAGTGGTAAACATATGGTAGATGTGGGCTGCGACTGCCACTGAACTTCTATAGGGCAAATGCTTTCCCCAGAGATTTCTATAGACATTAAAGATTGTCAATGTGAGCAGAGCATCTTCAAAACATGTGTTTTCAGCTCCCTCGCATTTGTTACTGGTATCTGTGTTCTGAAAGTGATGTGCTGGGGTGTAGTGAGCGGAGCCGAAAACAAAGCAATACTCTGACACAAGGGGGAAAAGACATACTTGCCGGACGCCCTGCACTGGGTTTGCCACAAAATTCAGGCATCTACGGTCAGAAGTAGGGAAGTCTTCGGTCAATGGGAAAAAACGAATTTTGAGCAAAAGGCAGAATCAAATGATTTGCACATGATTATCAAATTAAAAATGGTATTGTTTGTTTTGTAAACTATTTTAAGACAATTTTGTGTCATCCCATTCTGTGTTTAGATTATTATTGTACAAGCAGCAGGTGTGACAAGGGACAGTACATTTTGTTTTAAAGATGTTTAGATACGTGACATTTGCAATTAGACAACAATTAAAGTGTAAACATTTTTAAAAGTAGAAATGTTCTGGTAAACAATTTCCCATATGTGATCTTTATTAATGAAAAATCCCCATCCAACTAAGGTATAAAATAAGCATCTGCTAGAGGTAGTTTGAAAAAAGACATTGCTTTTAATCTGCCTCTCTTACTCCTACAGGTGCATTAAGACAACAACAAAAACATATCAGTGTTTCCCCA